CACACACACACACACACACACACACACACACACACACACACACACACACACACACACACACACACTGTTTAAGCGCGTGTGCGTTCTCGCGTGCATTCGCCGTTTTTGTGTGTGTGCGTGCGTGGGTGGGTTGTCATGTTCGCTATGCACAAAAAGAGCATGGCTGAGCCAGACTGTTTCGTTGGACTTTCACCGACTCATCAGGGGGCTGAACCCCGACAGTCTGCGCACGAAGCAATTGCACGCTTGCGTGTGCGCATGCACCCGTGCTATGCCATGTTCGCTACACACAAGTCCACAAACACAGGCATGCTTGAGAGAGAGAGAGAGAGAGGGAGGGAGAGAGAGGTTGTCCTCGACCGTGAGTAACAGCCGTCAGTCGCACAACAGGGCCAAACGATGCAGGGCGTTGAGGAGTGTGCCCGCCTAGAGTCGTTTGTCGGCTTCACCAGGTTCAGTAGAGGCGGGCCATTAGACTGGGGTAGGACGAGGGTGCCGCCCTGCAACGGGCCAATGCCCAACAGGTACCGGGCTGTTCTTTCACGACGGGCAATCTTTCCAACGGCCACCGCGATCCAGGCCATCTGCGGTCCTACCGGGCCGATGGCTCGGCTCCTCATGTGATCTTGAAGTCAGATCGCGCGGACCGCCGGGCCGGTAGGACCGCGCGCGGACCGGATCGGCCAATTCTCACGTTAGCAATTTCTATAAGTGCAGGGATTAGGGGCTGACCCGACAGGATACTTTCGCCAAAAAATAGGAAAAGTACCACGATCATTTGCGGCATTCCGCACGTGAAAGAAAAATCTATCCCCAGAGGGCCGACGGCGCAGGGGCTTTTGCACAATGGATGGCGAAAGGGACTGCATGCCAACAGGTACGCAGGCCGACATTACCTGTGGATGGACGTACCAAGAAGGGACGGCGGACAGCCGGGGGGAAAGGAATTGAGGACACGCCGACTTTCTGGGACAGGGGTCGTCGGTACGGGACTTTTCCAGAATCCTACCCGCCACGCGCCTAAAGTCACGGCGGCGGCGACACGCAACCGTTCAAGAGAAGAAACAGCCGGTTCTTTTTTTTCAGCCCAGACCCGCGGTACAGTGTGGTATGTCAACTTTTTCCCAAAAGTGCCTTAACTAAAGAATGTTGGATCAAAGCCTTAGACAAGTAGTGAGTGAATAGAGTGCAATTTGCAGGAAAGGTGAGGAAACCAAAACGCATTTTAATTTGCTGGTGGAGTACGATTCTTAGACACTTTATGCGGTCCTACTATACTAATTAATAAAAACAGATGAACCAAAAATCATACATAAAAAAGAGATGGATGACTCAGAGATGTTTGAGTACGCCTACCACGCCTTTGCAATCTCATATGCAGCATCAAAGCTCCGTTTTTTACTCTTTTTTTTCCGGATATGCTATATACACTGTAAATAGTGTGAGTGTGCATACTGAGCCAGGCATGACAGACCTGTGGCCTTCATTCGGTCTTACACAGAGGCAAGGGTGCTCTTGGATTCTTTTTCTTTTTTTTTTTGGAACAGGTCGAGCATCCCTTGAGCTATTAGTGAAACCAACTCAATTACTGTAGTAGAAGAACAAGTCTGATCTGGCTGGAAAAAAGTAGCAAGCAGCTGAAAGCAAAACTAAATTTAGCAAATAGCATGAAATGCCCGCAAAACAAGTTGAAGTCCTTGACAAAGGGGTATTTTCTTTGAACAACATCACAGAAAAAAAAAAAAAAAAACGACAAGATTCCCTGCGCAAGGATGACACGCATTTAAAACAAAAAAAAAAACAAAGAAAGAAAGAGAAGTACTGATGGCCAGCCTCTTGTACAGATTGCAGTTTGTGAAATCCAAGCCAGGGAACCGAAGAACATACCTTCTGTTAGGCCGCCTTTCCATGTATCGCTGTCGGCGAGTTTTCCCATCCATTACATTCACTTTTTCTCTCACACGTGGTCCTAACAAATGACACACATCCAACACATATTTGCGTGCTATCTCAGAGAAGGAGGCCCTGACAAAAAGGCCATCAGCATCCCTACCTCAACTGCACTGACAAAAAAGCACTCGACAGAGGAACGGGAAAAATAGTCGAAGAAGAAGAAGAAGACGAAGAAGAAGAAGAAGAAGAAGAAGAAGAAGAAGAAGAAGAAGAAGATGAAGGAGGAGAATGAGGAGGAGGAGGAGGAGGAGGAGGAAGACGAAGAAGACGAAGAAGACGAAGAAGACGAAGAAGAAGAAGAAGAAGAAGAAGAAGAAGAAGAAGAAGAAGAAGAAGAAGAAGAAGAAAGCAGTGGAAATGGATGCAAAGTTGCAAACTGACCTTTGCGGATAAAAAGAAATGTTTTGTCGAATGGTAATACAACAATTTTGGCTGGCTCTGTTTTTCAACTTCCAAGTTCCGCCGGCTAATGAATTTGATACAGAAAATAGAATGGAAAAAATATTATTTTGCCTGCCCCACTGGATTGGACCACCCCCTAATTTCAGCCCCATAACAAACTGATGACAACACCCCTGCATTTGACAGGGCATGAGCACTGCACGTAAGGAGAGGATGGGTAGGGAGGCGGTCTCACAAAAAATTGGCTGACGGGTAGATAACCAATGGCTGACTGATGGCTAAAACCGCCACACGTCTGGAATCCGGCCTCTACAACATCCTGGGCTTTATTTTAAAAAAAAAAAAAAAAAA